AATGCTTCTCGAATTGTAAAGTGCAAACACATTGCCTGAGGATCTTGCTGAAGAGCAGGCTCTGATTCAGCAGGCCCAAGGTTTTGCATTTCTACCAGGCTCCCAGGTGATGCCAGTGCAGCTGATCTGGGCACCACACTTTGAGTAGCAAGGGTTGAGGGGACAGGAGTCCTCAGCTCATATGTGATGGTGTCACGCCACCACCATACTGAAACTGGAACCGAACTGAGGCTCCTGACGTAGAGGGAAAAAGACATTTCAGTCTGTAATAGGGCAAGGGACCCAATCCAATCACCACTGCCCTCCCAACCACTGCTCGCATTCTGTCTGTAAACATATTTTTACCAGAATACTTGAGTGGGGAGAAGACCCCCGTCATGCGGGGAAAGGAAACCACTGTGCCTTCACACATCTCAAACCAATGGCTTTTCCTTACACTGAATTGACACGTCTTCTCTCATTTGGTATGCTGAAGGATTAGCACCTCCATGCAGTTCAATTCTATGAACATTTACGGAGCACCTATTGTGTGCCTGCCTGCTCTGTTTTGGAGCTAGAGATACAAAGATAAATAAAACACTTCCCCCTCTCCCAGAAGCCTAGTGACTGCAGTGAGCTGAGAAAACAGATGTTGTAGTCATGATCTAATGTGAACATCTGTATAATGCAAGCATCCAGTGCTTTGGGGCAAGAGAAGCGTTGTGTTTCCAGAGTGAAGTTGAGACTTACCAGTTCAATGAAATGAGTGCTCCCATCTCGTCTGAACCATTCCTTGGCCACAACAATTACTTCACATGCCAATGAGAATAGAGAGGACGCTGATGTGCACGGGCAGGGAGGAAGGGCAGGGGTGGCACTTCACAGCGTGCTCCTTGCTCCATCCCCTCACAACAGCACTAGGCTATGTGTAAAGCACTGTGGAAGCAGCGGGAACTCAGATGGTTCTATCCAGAGACTTCAAAAATGATGTCTGGAGGGGAGATTTGGGTTCGACCCTGAAAGAGGACCAGAAGTTTGCCGGATGGACCAGAGGAAGAGTGCTCCAGGCAGAGGAGTCCCCATGAGGGGTCACGGAGGAAATCCATAATGTGCTCAGTGAATGGTGAGTTAACTTGCCCTATGGGAAACAGATGAAGGGCAGGCAGACTGCATTCAGCTTAATGCACGCAAGGGCACTGCGAGCTGGGAAATGTGGCAAGCTTGGTGTGGTGAAAGTGGGGCTGGCAAACTTCTTCTATGAAGAGCCAGACAGTACTGTAAATATTTTAGGTGTGGGGGCCATTTGATGTCTGTCGAAACGACTCAACGCCACCGCCGTGGGTAAGAGGTAAAAGAATGGTGTGGTGCTGCCGATAAAACTTTATAATCACTCAAATTTGAGTTCCATATAATTTTCACACGTCATGAAATATTATTCTTCTTTTCATTTTTTTCAACCATTAAACACTGTCAAAACCATTCTCAGCTCACAAACACTATAAAAACAGGTTGTGAGCTGTATTTGGCCCCTGGGCCAGTTTGCAGATCTCTGGGTCAAAACACGGTGTGGGGAGGGCCAGAGGCAAGGAAGTTGGGGAAAAGGCTGGAACAAACTGTGACGAAGGAGTTTAAACCTTATCTGGGGGCCAAACGGAAACCACTGGACATTCTTTAGCCCAGGGAGAACATGTTCAGATAAGACACAAGTGGACTTCTGTACCACCTAAGAGGGAGCCCTACACAATTAGCAATGGGTCTCCATGGAGGCAGAAGAGACTGATTTGACTCAAGAAGATAAATTATTGCAAACACACTTAAAAAGCTTTAGCGAAACTTATTTACATACGGAGTGCTTATTAAACTCTTTTTTGCTCTTTCATTAAAACAAACCACACCCTCTGTCAGTACGGGGTTGTGTTGTTCCCAGTACTTGAAAACAACACATGGCATTTTCTTAATAACTCAAAGACAAATACTTTTTATTAACACAAGTTCCTTTGCTCACATAGTCCAATTTACTGAGATTTTATCCTGTATGTGTTTTAATTCCATGAGAGTGACTCAGAGCTGGGAGTTCCAATGCCCTGGCTCTGGACAAGGATGATACAATTATACTCAGAAGTGGGCTGGTCAATGTTTAACAATCTACTCTCTGAAAAGGTGTATGTGTGAACGTAAGTAAATACGTTTATTTTAACTTTTACTGATTGAAAAGATGTGTAGCACACAATTTGTGAGTAATTACAAATTATACACTACTCTTTACTGTAAATTCCATATAGCTAATTGATTCTCACAGAATGCTTTCATCCATAGCCAATCTGTGTCTGCAATTCAACCACAATTTGACAAAACAAGACTACAAATAAATGCTTGATTATTGTCCAGCTCAGCAAAGAAGTTGCTCATGTCATTGACAAATGAGTGTAGTTTCAACCTGAATATTAGTTGACTTTTTTGTTTACGTCAATAAGACAAAACTGAAACAGTGAAGATGCATGCAATAACTTTATTCATCTGTCAATGACATGAGTGACCTTTTTACTGAATCATGTACTAGTTTGCAAATATTAGAAGGGTATTTCCTCAAAAATTTCATTATTCATTATTTACAATGTGATGGCTATAGACCCGACACCCACTTTAAGTCTAATCTGCATGACATTTTCTCTATAACTGCATTAAGTTTATTAAGTTAGACAATCAACAAAACAATAAATCAGCCTTTGAGTTTTATCATTTGCCAATTTCCCTGGTGTAAACACTCCACCATGGACAATTTCAAACTACCAGAATATGGAGTGGGGAAGAGATGTTCACTAGCACACCATGATATAATACTTCCACCATACAGAAGAGATATAACCAACAACTTGCAACATTCCTGCAAACTGAAGAATCAGGTCTCTGGTGCCAGCACAAGTGACTCTGGTATATGACTGATAATATTTAATTTACCTAATACTGTCTTTCCAGTTCAGCAATGAGTGTGTCATCTATTGAAACTGCTATGTTAAAATAAAAAATGAACAGGCCTCAAGTATCTGTAAAGTTAGCAATGAATAAATCTGCTTGTTATCTAAACCTACCATCTTAACAAAATGATCACATTCTCAAAAATTTAGCTCCCAATGGCATGTAAAACATGCCTCATTCTCAAAAGTCTAGGACAATAATTAGAGTCTCAGTACTAATGTTTAGCACTGCTTTGTGGCATTTTTCTCTCGTGTCTAAACTAACATAAAACACAGAAAATGGCAGCATGAACACCAGGGCAGGGAGGCACCTTAGAAATTAGCTAGTCAAAGCTACACTCTTTAGGGAGGCTAGCTTACTTACCACAGAGAAGCAATTTATTACCAAAACCCAAGTTCTCATTTGTAAAATAGTTTCAGGGTGCTAAAGGGAGATAACCGTGGTAAATGTATTCAATTTTCTCTCACTTTGGGGATAAATGGATCCCTTCAGCACCATGATTTTGGGGAGAGTATTATTAAGTTACGAAAAGAAACTTTGTTTTACTTACATTTCACATCACTAGGGTTTTTAGGTTGTTGTTTCTATTTCTTACCATAGTTCTTTCAAAGCACACATTTGCCCATTCCAAGAATAATCATTTACAAGTTAATAGCAAGTGAACTGGACAAGTCTTGTGTAAACCAGCCAACCCTGAAGCAAATTTCAGAGTCAAGAACATATTTTACACCTTGATCCGAGAGTGATAAATCCTAGGTTCTTGTGAACTAGTAGAGGCAGAACATTCCTTTGGAAAATGGGCTGTTGGTCAATCACACTGGGTTGCTAAAAATTTCATTTTTGAGAGGAGAGCCTCTTCTCTGGAAATGATGTCTTTAACATCACATTTTCATTCTCTCCTTTTCCTCTTCTTCTTTCCGTCTCCTTCTTCCTCCTTCTTCTCTCTCTCTCTTTTTTTTTTTTTTTTTTAAATAATACAGGCCTACAATCTCCTACAGAAACCCCAAAGGCCAGATATGTGTGGATTCTCAAATTTTCGGATTTTAGAAAGGTAACACATTGCATATAACATATATTCCTAATTACCCCCAGTAAGGTCTGGGGCAATACTTCATAATCAACCATGTTTATATTTTGCAGCAAAACATACATATTCACATGAAGTAGGTTAAACAAGACCACACATAGCCTCACGTCAGTTCATTTCAGCTGAATTTTACTATTAAGAACTATTTGTAAAGCTACATTTTCAGGGCTTTTTAGATTTAATAATTCTGGATAAGGGAGTATAGGCCTGTAATGACATTATCAGCATACTCTTCTTCCCCTGATGCATTAAAAAAAATGAGTATGTGTAGTGTTTCCTTGATCCATGTTGAACTTTAATTTTGTTATTTACTGGAAGCTACTCATTCTTATATTAATCTCAGAAAGGCATTAGCAATGTTTTGCTCTGGTCTTGCTTTAATTCTAGGCTTATGCAATAGGCAAGTTAGATTTCTAAGGGATGATAGAGGAATAAATGGTTCTAGCATTCTATCAATTTGGTATCCTCTTTAGGCCACCAATGAACTTGGTAACTACTTGTTTTCCACCAGCCTTTCAATGCAACACAGCTTTGCAATTTTATTTTTTTGAGGCTACTAAAGGTACCTGCAAAATTAAACTAAAAGAAACAAGAACCGGAGTTGCACATAAAGAGAGAACACAGAATACCAAGCTTAACTTTGTCCTTGTAGAAGTATTGATTAGTCTGGTTAATGCTGTACTAGACATCAAGGAAAAACCCGACTTTCTTTCTTAGATCCCTCACAGCCTCATGGAGACCAGCCCTCTACAAATCAAGACTTGAAAAGTTATTCAGGATATTCCCTGATGTCAAAAACTGTGACTGGGAAACTAGCTAGGAGGGAACAGAATCTGCCTGGTGTTGCAGAAGATGTATTAATATAAATAATAAACACAAAACATGAATTGTAGAAGGCTTCAAATAGAGGAAAACTTCAGATACCAAAAGGATGAAATAATATCAGAAGAAACAGACACAGTTTTTAAATTGTAACTTGTTGTCTAGTGCAATGATAAAAGCTATCCACGAATACAGCGATTTTAGAAAGTTAAATTTTACATGCAGTGCTACTAAAATACCAAAGGCCATACATAATGTCTGACCCAAGCTGCCACCTCATATAGCAACTTCTTACATGGGAGCTTTAAAAAGATTGTTTGGTCCACTGTCCTGCAGTGTCAGGAGACGGCTTTGTCTGACATATTGAATTTCCAATGTCTCTCACACTTCCTCCTTTTCAGATGCACAAAAGGTTTTTGTAAAGTTTCTCTTGGTTTTACTGCTGGCAGCTACAGAAACCATGCCACAAGTCTGGTGTAGAGTTATAGGGTGTGATTTTATTTGACTGGTATCTTCAGAGCTTCTGGATTTTTCAATATAACCGAGAATTTCCTTAAGAGCTGTAAATGAAAATCGGTACCAGTTCGAACCCTTTAGTGGCCGGTTTTTTGTGAGGTTGGCTGGCTGCTGTTGCACGTTCTCCCCCTCCTCCTCCTCCTGCACCCCCTCGGTTCCCTCCCCTGCCTGCAGGAATACCACTACAGGGCGTTCAGTAGCCTTCCCAGGTGGGTCCTGGCCTAGTACCCTAAAACTATAACCGAGAATACCTATCACTGGGCAGCTTAGGAAACGCGACTGGGACTTTTAGTAGGGGTCCCTCACCGTTCTAAAGCACTCACACTAGAGTCAGGGGACATGGGTTTAAATCCCCACCCGGCCGCTTATCTTGTGCTCTTGGGCACACTGTGTCCCCTATATGAAATAAGCACCCATCTCTTCATCTGACTCCTAGGGCTGCGAGGATGCAATGACTGCACGCAACGCGCACATTCACGGTTTGGTCACTTCTGGCGTCCGGCTGTGGTCCCCACAGGGTGCCCGCGGGCGGAGCGCATCCTCCGGCAGGGGGCGAGCTCCGCACCCCGCTTTCCTCATGGGCCGGCGCGGCCCGCCGTTCAAGTGGGGAGCCCAGAGGTGCTCCACGCCATGGGCGGGGGGTGGTTGGCGCGCACAGGGCCGGACTCCGGCCGAGCGCACCTCCACACGCACCCTCGCCGGCCGCGGGTCGGAGTCGGGGCCTCCACACGCACCCTCGCCGGCCGGGGGCGGGGTATGGGTGCGGCGCGCGGGGCCCCGAACGCCCAGACAATGCGGCGCGCGGCGGCCAGGAACGGCTCGGCGGGCCGGGGCGCGCGCCGCCTTCCTTCCTGCGGGCTCCGCTTCCCGGCGGCGCGGCAGCGGCGAGCGCGCCGATTGGCGGCCCGGTCCTCCCGCCGCCCCGCCCCACGCCCGGCCGGCCGCCGCCCCCGGTCCGGACCCGCCCCTCTCCGCGGGAGGCGTCGGGGCCCGCGGCTGGGTGGCGGGTAGTTCCCGCCGGCTGTGCGCGCCCGCCTCGGGGCTCGCTCTGAGAGGACGCGGCGGCGGCGGCGGACGCGGAGCCCTCGGCGCGCAGGCAGGCGGACCGGCCGAGCTGCGCGGGGCTGCGCGCCGCCTCTGCTCCGCCGCCAGGCCCCGCGCGGCTCCCGCGCCCGCCTCTCCCCTTTGTCCGCGGGCCGGAGCGGCGGCGGCAGCGGCGGCGTCCGAGCGGCGGTCGGAGCCCGCGGCGGCGGTTGAGGCGGCGGCGCCCCCGCGGCCGTGCGCCAGCGCCCTCGCGCCGAGGCGATGCCGGACCAGATCTCCGTGTCGGAATTCGTGGCCGAGACCCATGAGGACTACAAGGCGCCCACGGCCTCCAGCTTCACCACCCGCACGGCGCAGTGCCGGAACACCGTGGCGGCCATCGAGGAGGTGAGGCGGCCTGTGCGGCGGCTCCGGCCGCAGGTATCCCGCGCCCGAGCCCCGCCCGCCGCTCCCGCATCCGCATCCCGGGAAAACTTTCTTTGCTCCGAAGCCGGACGCGGCCGGGCCAACCCTGCCCGAGACAGAAGCCCTTTGTTCCCGCCTAGGTGGCTCGGAGGAGATGGGTGATGGCCACCTTGGGCCTCTGTAAGACCTCCCCTCTCTCGGCCTCGTGGCCCTCGCGGGGTTCCCCGGCCTGGTCCTTTCCCCGCAGCGCGGCCAACTTTGGCCAGAGTCGGGGTCTGCGGCGAGCTGTGGGGATCCCGCTGCCCACCGCCGCCCGCCGCCGCCCGGGGTCCTTGGTCCCCGGCGCGGACCTTACCAACTTGTTCTTGAAGTGGCGCGGCGGGGGCAGCTCCGCTCTCCGAGCTCCCCGCCGCAGTCCCCGAGCCCTGCAGGGCCCCCACCCTCGGGCCCGCGGGTCCGGGGCATCCCGGGCTGCCTGGGAAGGCATGCCCGCCTCAGCCAGGGCGGCCTGGCTGCGCTCCACCCGTGCCCGGAGAAGGAACTGCGGGCAAGGTGTGTGAGAGTCGGCGCTTCTGGGTCCAAGAGGCCTCCAGGAGCCGCTCCCCGGTTACCTGGGTCTCACCTGCTTGAATCCGGGGTGCCACCCTTCCCCTCAACCTGGAAAAGGCCTGGTTTTAGTAAAGTGCTTTCAAGGTGCAAAGTCATCACGCCTAGCTGCTAACTAGCACGCTCTCCAGGTCCTGGGGAGAGGAACACGTAGGAACGAAGAAGCTTGGTTGAAAATTAAAACCGTGGGGAAATGGGCAGGCTGTGAGTCCAGGGGCCACCGTTGGCTGTGGTTTGAGGCACATCGTCACCTTCAGTCCTCCTTTTCCTTACCCACCAAACGGGATTAGTAATGCATCCTTTCCAGGATCAGAGACTATGTGAAGTGCTTAGCACTCTGCTCGACTCAGAACAGGTTTATAAGCCACACATGTGGCGATAGTGAATCCATGATTAAATGTCTCTTGGCCAGAATGTCAGGTTACAGTTTTAAAATTGGGTTTTGCAGGTATTTCAGCAGAAAACGCCTGGGCTAGCAGGCTTGAGGGGAAGTCACCAAAGAGCTTTAAAGGAAGCAATGGCATTATTATTTTTCTTTTTTCTTTTTTCTTTTTTTTGCCCATTTGAACAAAGCATCTGCTGTTAAGAATTGAAAAAAAAATCCAGAATGTTTTCCCTTAATGGAAAAATTTTTTCTTTGTAGCTGTAAACAGTCAATAAAAGGGAATCAAAAGTAACAGATTCAGCATTCTGAATGCTGTTAATATAGCTTGGGTAGCCTTCCTTCTCTCCATTTAATTTGGCGGAAGAGAGCTGCATGTAAACCTTTCCTATGAGTTCGGTGATTCCCCAGATCACTTAATTCTACTTTTAGCAGCAAGGCTTAAAAATGATGCCTTCAAATGAGGCAGATGGGGATGGGTGAATGAATTTTTTTCCTAAGTGCCGGTTAAAAAGCACAGTGTTTTGAGAATACACCATTAATAATGTTTATGGAATGATTGCAACCAAAAAGGTAGCTGAATATTTCTTAAGGGAAGGAAGCATTGTGCATGATGTCTTTCTTTAGAAAGCTTGATTATGTTTAAAGTTCTGTTGCTTTTCCCCACTGCAGTTTGTCAGTTAAATATTATTAGCATTGGCAGATGTTGGAAAGCCAAGCAAATAGGAATTGCTATTAAAATTGGCATACACTTTCTTTGATTAATTTTAGTTTACAGTGTGTAATTCCAAAGCTCTTTTTGTATGCTGTGCAGGAGATTACCCTAGAGCTCAGTTACTGAGCAGATTACAAAGAGACTGGATTTGGTCATTTCATTAAATTGCAAGCTTGCTTCATGTTGCCGTCTAAGCTCAAGATTTGGTTCAAGTCTGAAAATGGACAAATTAAAATCATTTCAGGTTTATTTCACTTTAAGCAAATCTACATACGTGCTATGATGATGGTACGTGTGAGCTTGGTTTTATAACTAAATTTGAAAGTTGTTCACTTTCTGAGGTAAATCGATGTGGATTTTTAAATAATGCTCTTTCCCAGGGTGTCTAATGTTCCTTTCTATTACCAAAACTTGTTCTGTATATGGTTTAATAACAAATGATGCGTACAGTATTTTGGTTTTAAACAAAAATCTTCTCATACTGAGATGAAACGTGAGAGGGTATCATGACATAAAGTTACTCATTTAACAAATAAAATAAAATTTGCAAGCTCTTGGTCTTATTTTTAAACAAATGAATCATGGAACTAGCAAACTAATTTTGTATTTATTTATTTATTTATTTTTTGAGATGTAGTTTCGCTCTTGTTGCCCAGGCTGGAGTGCAGTGGTTCAGTCTTGGCTCACTGCACTCTCTGCCTGCCAGGTTCAAGCGATTCTCCTGCCTCAGCCTCCCAAGTAGCTGGGATTACAGGCATGTGCCACCATGCCCAGCTAATTATTTGTATTTAGTAGAAACGGGGTTTCACCATGTTGGTCAGGTTGGTGTCAAACTCTTGACCTCAGGTGATCTACCTGCCTTGGCCTCCCAAAGTGCTGGGATTACAGGCATGAACCACCACGCCCAGCCAGCAAACTAATTTTAAACTGATAAACCTTTTTGAATCTGTTATTTCTAATGTAGGTTATATCTGCCAAAAAATCATTTTACAGTTAAAATGTACTGTTTTGATTTGCATACTTGTTGCTGGCATATTATTATAGTAACTGTGGGTCCCTATCCTGTACTATGAAACTCACAGGTATTGTATTCAGTCCTTATTTCTGCTTTATAGGTGAGGAAATTGAGGCTCAGAGAGGTTAAGTAATTTGCTAAAGGTTATAGGGCTCTGAAGTGGACTTTGAACTTGGCTCCTGCTGCTTTCAGAAACCATGCTGCTTCCTGTTACTTTTCATAATGCTGAATTCTCTAAATTACTCCTTTGTCAGATTGACCTGGGTTCAAGTTCAGACTCCACCACTTGCCAGCTGAGTGAACTTGAGTGAGATGCCTAACATTTTCTCATTTTCCTCAGCTTTAAAGTCTGGGTAATAATACCTGTCAACTTCAGAGGATTGGGGTGAGGTTTTAGTGAGATAATACACAGCACAGAAGCTGCCAGACAATTGGTTACTGGATTATATAGTGAGTCCACAGGCCCCAGTGAGGGCTTTTAGAGTGAGGATGGGATTTACATGGGAGAAGTGTCAGGGAAATGGCTGAATGGCTGAATGGGTGAGTGAATGAAACACTACCGTGTATCTGTTAACCCATGTGTATTTTTTAAAAGTTTGTTGTCAGGCCAGATGTGGTGGCTCACGCCTGTAATCCCAGCAGTTTGAGAGGCCAAGGCGGGCAGATCACTGAGGTTGGGAGTTCGAGACCAGCGTGACCAACATGGAAAAACCCCGTCTCTATTAAAAATACAAAATTTGCTGGGTGTGGTGGTGCATGCCTGTAATCCCAGCTACTTGGGAGGCTGAGGCAGGAGAAACACCTGAACCCAGGAGGTGGAGGTTGCGGTGAGCCAAGATCACACCATTGTACTCCAGCCTGGGCAACAAGAGTAAAATGCCGTCTCAAAAAAAAAAAAAAAAGTTTGTTGTCCTGACAGCTGGTGAGAGCATACCTGTGTTTTATAATTTTCACTTGACCACCTTCTCTGGTTCAAGTCATCATTTTGTACAATTTTAGCAAACTTAGCAAAGTCTGGTGCTGCAACCAGAGTCTGTCCTGTGCTTTTGGAAATAATGGAAAAATAAGTAGTTGTGACAGAAATTTGAAAAGTGAGGGTTTTTTTGTTTCTTTTTTTTTCTTCTTTTTTTTTGGTTTCTTGGAGCCTCTGGGCACTTTGAAATATTCTCAAAATAGGGAAAAATTGTATACATATTTGGAATATTCGTGTTTTTAGTTAGACCCTCCTTTATAGCACCATCCATTCTGCCTTGCTTATTTGGCATTGATGTAGTTTTAAAAATAAATTTGATGTTGACTTGTAAGTATTAAAATTTAATCTACTTCCTTCCGGGGCCGTAATTCTCTACTTTGTTGTCCTTGGTTACCTTGGCAATCCCATTGCTGTCATAAGCACAGGGTTCTAACTGCAGGGGTGGGGTGAGCATCTGGGCCTGCCGGCTCCCAGGGGCCCTGCCGTCCATGGGACCAGACCCCTCCTAGCAGCAACAGTGGGAACCAGGCCTACGTGCTTTTTGGCAAGAATGTGATTCTGAATGTTAGCCCTTTGTGACTTGTTTGAAAAACAGCTCCTCCAAGTCCCCAGATGAACAGATTCTTGCTGTCTTCAGAAGGACATCACCTCCTTGCCCAGAGCATTCATGTTTTTGGAAGTGAGCTTTGATGGGTCAAACAGGGCCACGTTTTAAACTATGTTCTGAAATTTGAATTTCAGAAAATTTTGAATCACTTAAGGAAGCCATTTTCTCTTCATATGTGAGCCTTCCTCCCTGCCCTCCGGTGAATGCTGAATTCAGTTTCCTTCTTAGGATCAATGGTAGAAGTACTGATGCCACTCCTCGTGGGTTCCAGGTCCTGCCATGCACTCAGGATTCCTGAGTCCTTCAGTGTGCTAGGCTATGTGTGAGGTGGCAGGAATAGAACACCAGGAAGAATACGTTCTCTCTTTGAAGGGACCTGCAGTCCAGCAAGAGGAACAGAATCCTAATCCTGTAAACAAATCAATATAAAAAATGTGAGGACCACAGCTGTAGGAATGCCCGGAGTCCTGTGGATGTGCAAGGGTGCAAGGGGTCCCAGGGCCTGGGGCTGTGGTGAGGGAGGGCCTTGTATGATATCGTGCCATTGATTGAGTCTTGAAGTCCAGGCAGTTACCTGTGGGTTACCAAATGCTAAGGCACTAAGCTGGTTCATTGTGGTCTTTTGTACCTGCCTCCTTGCCTTAGGTAAATATTGATCTAGTCCTAAGGTGGCAGCCAACTCAG